GGCAGAACAACAATGGTAGTTACCAAAGGTGCATTAAGAGGAAGAGGTGAGAAAGTACTGAACAGGTTGGACTGGAGAAGAGATGAGGTTAATTAAGGAAGAGGTGACTTCAGACTATAATGTTGAGAAGTATAAAAAGGACAGACAAGATGGGTAGGGAAAGGATTTTTGTCTCTTGGGTACAGAGCACACCAGATTCAAAGGATCCAAACAGGCAGAAGAGATGCTTTCTATGCATTTGAGCAGGGAGCAATTTTGGCCCAGAAAGAAGATATTTACATAAAGATGACACTCAGGGCTTCAGGCAACACAGTCACAAACTGCCTAGAAATCCTGAAAAGCAAGTTTTTGTGCAAAGCACATTTCAGTTACCCCAATATTTAATGCTCATCCATGATTCTTTTCACACAGAATTGGGGGTAAGATGGAGGGAGCACCCACAGAAAATTGCCAGAGGACAAGAAAATGGTCTAGCCATTGACATGGGCAGGAGAAAGAGTAGGGGAGAGCCCTAGCATAGTGTTTAAGGTAGATGCAAGGAATAGAGTGACTGCTACGAGACCAGCTGATGAAGAACTATTTCTTTTATGGACAGAGCCCAGATCCTCCAGTTCACTTCTAACCCAGGCCCAGAGGTATGGAACAAGGATGAGTGGAAGGAAGTTGAAAGGTCATGAAATGACAGTCAACTCTGAGTACTCTCTTGAGGGGAAGGCTCACAGTGCTTCAGACCTCCACTTGAAGGCATTTCTAGAAAAACTCAAAACTGGCCTATTGAAGGATGGCTTCTCATCTATTTACACTAGTTTGAAGGCTCATGGCTCATACCATAACCCTCGTTTAGTTACTGAGGGCAGAGGGTTGTGCCTTAGCAAACCCCTGTAGATGATGCATAAGCAATCTGGAGTGCACAGTGCCCCAGAACATAAACTCATGATTAGGTGGGTTACCTGGGATGCTTATTGACAGTGTGGTACTTACACTTGGATTCCTTTGCTCTCTAACAGAACAGATGCATGGTGTGAGAGCTGAGCCAGAGAACCCCCTCCAAATTTTTATATTAAGACTACCTGAACCCATCATAAGGTCTGAGGATGTGCTAATGATGAGGACTGCAGGGAATAGCAAATCAGCCCCTGGGCTTGGTTCTCAGCATGGAAAAACATTAACCTCTCTTTGTGCTGAGTTTGCAGGGTTCCCTACTCAATATCATTTACCAAACTTGCAGGTCTTCTCATATTCAGTACCACATGCAAATAATGAAACAGTTCTGAGAGCAGAGATGACATTTTGTTCAGTGTCCAATGAATGGAGAAGAGGAGCTCATGCTTTACAGACACCTTCGCCCCAAATAAGTATGGTGTCTGGGTTTTTACTAGGACTGGGTTATGAGGGGTATTGTCTGCATTGGAATGGGAGATTTCAAAGGATCAGACTGTCACTTCTTTTTTCCCCTAATTTGGGCAAAATCAGATGCATCATAGCACCTGTAGTTGTGATTTTAATTATTATGAGAGCATAGTGAGCTCAGGGTCTTCTAGTATCATTATAGCATCAGAATCACTTTGAGCTGATGTGGACTATCCTCAGTGACAGGGAATATGCAATGAAGCCATGCTAGGCAGCTGGGATAAATGGTTATCAGCAACTGGGCTTTAACTTTTGCAATCAAGCAGCATCTGCATGACAGGATAACAGGCTATTGGTAATTTCAGGGTGCAAGCTTGTGGCATGACTAATAGATTAATTTAAAAATGGAATAAATCACATATTTCACAGCTGGAGGGCAAAGTATGTACACAACGTTTTTTCTCTCCAAGTCTCCTAAAGCAGAGACCTTCCAAAACAGAGGTGGCCAAGGTCTCTATGCATCTTCTTGAAATATAGATTCTGGAGGACTAACTCAATTCTCTCCCTTTCTCTAGAAAACGTCAAGAATCATCCAGTGATCAGACTCTCAAAGTAAAACCGTAAACTATCAGAGGTCAGGATTCAGCAATCCAGAGAAGGGACATAAGGCCTACAAAAGTAGGTGACCATAGGAGAAAAACAGTCAAGTGGCCCCCGTGAAAGATAGGAAGAAGGGAGTGCTGTCCATGCTGAAGACCACTGGAAACCCTATCTTCAGTGCCATTGAGAACAACCTCCTAGTCATGTGTCAGTAGAGCTTGTGAAGCTGGCTTCTAGACACAGGTCAAAAGTCTTGGGAACTAAAGACAAAAGTGAAAGATGGCCCTTGAGGAAAGGCCCAGCTTGATTTCTACAGCAAGGCACAGGCAGCATTGAGCATGCCTGCACAAGGTCCAGCCCCTTCTTTAAAAAACTGAAAGCAGGGCTGGGGATTTAGCTCAGCGGTGCCTACCTGTCTCAAAAGCACAAGGTCCTGAGTTCTATCTCTGGTACCAAAACAAAACAAAACAAAAAAATAAAAAACAAACAAAAGTTAAAAGCAGAATGATCCCACAATCCACTATCAGGATATGTTCAGAGGAAATGAAATCAGTCTCTCAAAAAGACATCAGAACTCCCTGTTCATTGCAGCATTATCCACAATAGCCAAGTTATGGACTCAGTCTAACTATCCACAAAGGATGCGCAAAGAAAATATGCTACATTGACTCAATGGAATAGTGTCCAACCATAAAAAAGAACAAATTCCTGTCATTTGTTTAACACCATGGATGAACTTGGAGGACATTAAGTGGAATAAGATAGTCACAGAAAGACAAATAACACAAGTTCTGGCTCATGTGGAATCTAAAAGAGTAGACCATCCAGAAGTAGAGTGTAGAATGGTGTTACCAGAGGCCCTGGTGAGCCCAGGGGTGGGAGTGTAAATACTGCCCAACAAGGACTGAGATTGTCAGTTGAAGGATATAAAATTTAGGTTTGAAAAGAGGAATATGCTCAAGAGATCCATTGTACACAAGGTAACTATATTTAAAAAGGTATATATACTTAAAAATTGCTAAGAGAGTAGATTTCAACTGTTCTCAACACTTGAATGGCTAAGTGTATGATGCACAGGTTAATTTGTCTGATAAAGCCCTTCTATAATATATGCACATTTCAAGACATGTGAAAAGATTTCAAGACACTATAAACATGTAAGATTTTTAATTTTAAAATATATATGTCTAAGGATGCAGCTTGGTGGTAGAACGCTTACCTAACTTGTGCAAGATTCTGGGTTCAGTCCAAAAATGTATTTTTAAGACCCAGACTGGTCCCTCTTTGAGTTACTGGGCAAGGCCATGCAGCCTGAGGCTGGAGGATAAACTGAGGGCTTGTAAATGGAGGTAACCTTAGGCTGGGCCTTATAAAACACAAGGAAAGATAATCCCAGGTCTTAAATTCACCAGTAAAGTATCTTCAACCCTTAGGGACAAGAAACAAACCCAAAGGGAGGAGCCACAGAGTAAAAGCTGTAAGTCAAGAACCTGAAACCCAGCACTCAGCTACACTAGTAAGTGTGCATATACACATGGGTCTGTTCAGTGACATTCACTTTTGGACAACACAGGAAAGGACAACATGAGAGCCCAGGGAAAAAGACCAACACTCATCATAGGAAGCCAGCATCCCAGTAGAATACTTCTCTGGGGCAGCATGAACAGGATGGCATGAGACTAACCTGGCATGCAGCCACCTGCTTAATCTGGCCATTGTGACACCACCTGGTAGGCCAGTCATGAAATCGTACTGTGGGTAGGCTGGAGGTGAGGGACGGAACTTTCTGCATGCTCAGCACAAACAATCTTGCACAGGCAGCTAGGTGTGGTCTGTGCAAACTGGTTCTCAGAGGCCAAGTCCTTAACTCCTTTGTCTATTCACAAACATTCAGAGAAAGACTGCTTTCTCTTTGTTGGTTTCAATAGCAAAGGGGACAGAGGCACCTCCTTGGCAATGTCAAAACTCCAGTCCTTTTCTGATTGTCCACATTAATGAGGAGAAGTAGGCAGCCATGTGATTGAAAATATGCAAACATTTCCTGTTTAACTCTGAAATGAATTATATGATTATTTCATAGAACTAATAACAAGTTCTGGCTCTCAGTTGAGGCCCCTGTGAAAACTGGTTGGTATTCCCCATGCCTGCAACTTGGCAGAAGGACTGTATAATGAGTGACTGGCCATCCAGTAATTGGGCACACTATCCTGCATAGCATCACATAAACAACCCTTCAGGTGACCCCTGGGAAATCAGGCAACAGAGCTAGCATGCACAAAAAGGGAGGCAGGAGGGAGCCAGTCTTCCCTTTAGAAATTCTGGTGCCTGCATCTTTCCTGGTGTTATGAAAAGTGGAATACTGTTTTACTCACTTTTTCCCTTTTTTTGTTCTTTTTGCAGTGTTTAAGATGGAACCCAGGGCCTCACACATGCTAAGCACATACTCTAGCACTGAGCTACAATCCCAGACTGGGATATAACTTTTAAATTTAAAATTACTGAGTAGCTGTAGCCAAGTTGTTCTCAAACCTTCTTTTATGGAAAGCTCCAGAGCTTTCCAAATGGATATTTCATAAAGAACTGGAAGGATAAATAAAGAACCAATAAAAAAAGATTACCTGTAAGACACAGGATGAGAAGGCAGTGCAGAAGCATGACTTCTTTTCATGGAGTTCTGACTTTGGGAGCATATAAATATATTACCTCTTTGAAAAAGTATTTCTAGAGTTGGACACTCAAAATGTAGAGCAGCTTCTGTGGTAGATGGAGCCCAGCTGCACTGCTCCTTCCTCACCCTGGGCTCTCAGTCCTGAGTCCCATGGCTCCTGCCACAAGGATTCCAGTGACCTTGCCCAGCCTTTTATTTTGTAGATGGGGAAAGGAAGCTCAGGGAGCCTGGCTGTCTTTCTGGTTTCTCCCCATAGGACACATTCAAGAGGGTTACCTACACTCCCCAGAAGAAACAGGACACTCAACCCTTTTGAAAGATTTATTTTTAATTAAAAAATAAAAGTTATCTTAACATATCTGCATTGGCAGCTTCAGGGAGGCAACTTAAAGAAGCAAGAAAAACAAGGCTTATCAGTTACTGGTCACCTGACCATCTGATAATGGGTACAAAGGCACACGTCTCCAAACAAACATGATCCAGAAACATTTCTAAGAATTCACAACTCCCTTCCTCCAACTCTATCCCACCCCAAAGAAAGACCCAAAACATTAAACCTACAGAAATAAGTGCTGAGTCAGCAAGAAGCCTGGGCAGGCTGTCCAAGAGCCTCCATCTCTCTCTCTACTTGATGACTGACTGCCCACGGGGAGGGAGCAGGTGAGTGATACCCTCCACTGCAGGCTGATGGGGTGCGTCTACCCAGCCCAACAGCCATCACCCCTACAGGGACAGGAGCTCCAAGGCACTGTCTCTCTCAATCAAGGGCATCTATGGCTTACACAGCCTTCCAGGAAGAGGAAGGCTTAAGACAAGCAAGTCTTCATCAGATGCTTGCGATGAAGGCGCAGAGAACTGTAGGAGGGTAGGAGGCAAGTGTATCTCTTCTCCCTCAGCTGGTGTTAGAAGTGTTTCTCTCCCTAGTCTCCCTGCCTTCACTTTTCCCTTCTTCCCAGTCTCCCTTCCCCCAAAAGAGTTTTATTTTAGCTTAATGGCAAGGGTTTGGAAGAGGCTCCTGGCAGCTCCTGGGGCTGGCCTGGTGACTCTGCCACCTCCAAGGGGACGTCACACGATTTTAGTTCCTGTGTGCAGGGCTCCTCCTGTTCCTGTGAGGGCTCCAGGCTCTCCTGGCTCAGGGCCTGGCTGTGCATCTTCTCTTCAGCTTCAATCTCTTCTGATGTAGGGATGGAGTTCTTCTTGGGACGACCTTTAGGTTTTGTGGGTGCTTCCTGTCCACCTTTAAGAACCTATATGAGAAAAAAATGTTACAGAATCTAAATTAACTCCTTCCGTCACTTTTCCACACCCACCCCAACAACTCACACAGCATCTAAACCCTTCCTTCCCAGCAGCCAGGATAGAGAGTTTGGCAAAACATATCTTAAAGTCCTCCTCTCCTGTGGACTATGAAGATGGTTCCACTCAGGCTTCATGCACTTTTAGTCAATATCCCAATTTTGTCATTTATTTACTTGATCATAAGCACAGGAAAGATCAACTCCAGGGGACAGGGAATGTAGTGGTGGATTCCCAACACCTCCCTAAAAATAATTAATTCAATAAGGAAATAAATGAAAAGTAAAAGGTTAATCCAAACTATCATGTTGACAAATTAAAAGGACAATGTTTATGGCAAGAAGGAAAAACAATTACACTCTAATGTGAAGGTGTAATTAACACAAACTTTTTAAGACAATCTGAGAATTCAAATCGAAAGTCTCAAAACATGCAACCCTTTTTGACATGGAAATTCCTTAGTATAAATTCTAAAAAGTTATCTAAGACTGAGATAAAGGTGATTTGTAAAATATTCTTCACAATATTTGTTATAACAGCAAAAGTTAGGAGGGTTCCCTAAAGGTTTAGCCATGTAATCAGGTACATAATGATAGCATATCCCAAAAAGAAAATATTTGATAATTATTACAACATTATACAGGGTAGTGTCTAATAAAATGGGAAATTTTACAAATACAGTAGTACCTTGGTTCGTAAACTTAATTCCACAATTCTGGTCAAAAACAAAATTAGATGAGAACCACATCATATTTCCTCATAAGTTCATCGTTTAATTTAACCACTGAATTTGATATGGTTTGATTATTCATTTTTGCAAAAAGGCTATTAGCATAGTCCAACTTGTACACTAGACAACTATATGTCTTCTTGTTTGTAGTGTCTGGATCTTGGAAAAATTTTCATCTGTTTGTGTTCTTTATGTATTTTGTAAATTTTCAACAAGGATTGTGTATAAGTATTTCTATTATCAGAAAAAAATGCATTATAAAATATAGGTTTTTTTTATAATTTAAAGAATAGGGTGTAGTAGGATGAAATTTGAAATTTGGAAAAGTAGTCCCAACTCTGACACTTATCAGCTTTGTCTGTGGGAAACACCCTTTAAAGAGGCTGAACCTCGGTTTTCTGATCTGCAAAATGGGGATAATAATTTCACAGGGTAAGTTGAGGGTAGCCCGCAGATAATAAGTGTGAGAGGGCCAGACACGTTCCTGAATGGCAGATTGATTTCCTCATCTCAGAACATGCCTGGAAGCCTTGCTTCAAGTCAAATTCTCTTTGCCATTTGCCATGGGAGTTTTTCATAAAATGCTGTCTCTGCATGTCTCCTTGCCTACTTTACTCCTAAGTCCCTCCATACAGCAGTTATTTAATAACTGTGATGGAATTAACTAATCTTTCTCAATAAGCTTTTCCACATAAAGCAAGCAGAAGAATTGTACCCTAAATGGCTTTTGCTGATATGAAAGGTCTTACACATTTATTAACCCAATTTGAGTTCTACATGGGAATCCCATATGTAGAAAGGGATAATTATTTTCCTGTTTATATCTTACTTTAAATGGAACAGATGGTCCTTTTCCATTGGCTTTAAAACCTAACTTGGTGAGGTTGATTTTCTAGGGTGCTAGTGAGAAGGGCTTTGGGAGGATTTGAATTAAGCAGTGAATTAGGAGTGTAAGCTGACTTATACTGTGTTAGTTAGCTTTACATCTGTGCGACAAAATGCCTGAGATAAATCAACATAGAAGGAGGAAATGTTTATTCTGGCTCATAGTTTGGGAGGTTTCAGTCTGTGGACACTTGGTCTGTTGCTTTGGGGGCCTGTGGGGAGTTAGTACATTATAGTAGCAAGAGCTTGAGGTAGAGGGAGCTGCTCACCTCACGGTCAACAGGAAGCAAAGAGAGAGGTGGGGGAGGGAGACAGGAAAGGACATATGCTCTTCAAGGACACACCCCCAGTGACCTAACTCCTTTCTACTAGGTTCCACCTCTTAAAGTCTCATCACCTTCCAACAGCCTCAAGCTGAGGACCCAGGCTTTAAACATGGGTCTTTGAGAAATTTCTAGATTCAAACTACAGCACTTACTAACTTAATGGTATTTTCCTTAGTTGCACAGAAGTTCAGTGAAAGCAAATTCTGTGTCTCTCCTAGGAAAGCCTAACTTCCAATAAACTTTCTATGTAGTCAGTGATATTTACTGACAATGTCTCTTCTTCAAGAACAGCAGAGGTCCTTCAGGAGCTGAACTTTAAGAGTGTAGCAAACCATCAAATCACAAATTTTTACAAAACAGCTTTGAGATACAATTCACTTGTACAGTTTGACCATCTCAAGTGCACAATGCAGTAATTTTTAGTACAGTCACAGAGTTGGGAACCTCTTATGACAATGCAATTTCAGAACACTTTCATCACTCCCAGTAGGAACTTCATACCTATCAGCAGTACTCTGCATTTCCCCTCAACTCCTTGAACTCAGCCCTAGGCAACCACCAAATCTTCCTTTTATCTTTATACATTTTCCATTCTGGACATTTCATATTAATGGAATCATTTGATATGTAGACTCTTGTGACTGGCTTCTTTCATTTGGCATAGTGTTCTCAAGGTTCATCCATGTTGCAGAGTGCCTGAGAAAATAACCTTCTATTTTATGCATATACTATGTTTTGTTTATTCATTTATCTGTTGATGGACATTTGGGTTACTTCTACCTTTTGCCTAGTGTTAATAATGCTAATAATGCTAGCATGAACAAAGGTATGTGAATATCTGTCCAACTTCCTGCTTTCACTTCTTTTGGGTATACACCCAGAAATGGAATTGCTGAATCATGTGGTAACTCTATGATTAACATTATTAACATTTTTAGGACTGTTTTTGCAGAGCAGTGGCATCATTTTTCATTTCAAACAACGGCATATATGGATTCCAATTCTCCATATCCTTACCAACACTTGTTACTATGATTTCTTGATTATAGTCATCCAAATGGGTGCAAAGTGGTAGCTCATCGTGGTTTTGATTTGCATTTCCCTGATGACTAATGAAGTTTAGCATCTTTTCACCGTGCTTATTAGACAGTTGTGTATCTTCTTTGGAGAAAAATCTATTCAAATCCTTTACTACCCTTTCTAAACGTGGTTATCTCTTTCTTAGTGTGCTATGAAAGTTATTTAAGTATTTTAAAATGTCCCTTATCAGATATAAGTTTTGAAAATATTGGATTCCATTCTATGGATTATCTTTCTTGATTTTCTTCACAGCAGAACAGTTCATAATTTTTATGAAGTTCCATTTAAGTTTTGTTATTTATACTATCAGTGTCATTTCTAAGGAGGTTTTGTCTTATCTCATATTGTAAATATTTACCTTTATGTTTTCTTCTAAGAACCTTATAGTTTTAGTTTTTACATTTAGATCTATCATAAAATTTGAACTAATTTTTGTGTACAGGTATGAGGAAAACCACATGTTCTCAAGAAACACCTCCTTTTAGCAGTGAATCTGCTCTGTTTGAATCTGCCTGAACAGCTAACACAGAGTTGTGAAGGGACCTTTAAAAAAGCGTGGATGCTGACAGAAAACATCTCTGGGGAGAAGATGTCCCTGTAGTCATTTTCAGGTGAGTCAGTATCTGATTTTGATTTCATTCTGAGCACAGGCTTTTGAAAGTACCTAAGTGTGCCAAGAAGGAATTTACCTGTTGAAAGCAACTCCACTGGGTATGAAAGAGGTTATATAAAAGTAAGTTGCCCCATGCAGTAATCATGTTTTAGAAAGGGCCGGTCTAAGGAAGCCACCTAATTGGCAAAAGAAAGTCCAGCCCAGCAATTAGAGAACACCACCCACACAGCTTGGATCGATCTCATCTGGCTGTTTTCCTACAGCATGAAAAAGAAATCAAAACAATCAGACCATTTTTAAATGGAATAAAACATTCCAGTGCAAGCAATAATTAGGAGATAACTACCCTATTGGCTGCTTTCCACATCAACTTCTGGCCCCCTGCCTCCAAGCACACCTGAGACATGCAATTATCTCAGAACCTCCCTGCACCAGGAACTGTACTTCCATGCACCCTGCGGTACTCCTCCCCAGCTATTCCTAGAGCTGATTTGTTCCCTTGGTGCAACGATGCCAGGCAATCCACTGTACCAGAGATCACATGCTTCTCTCTGCCTCTTGAAGAAATATGTAGCATACCATCTACTTTTATTAGCTCTGCAGTCTGCTGACAGTTTTCTTCCAAACTCCAAAGCAAGGCATTCAAATGCTCTGGCACTGAGGATGTGAAGATGATCTTTTTCTTCCTTCTAGAGATGCTTAGGTGGGGGACAAGCAGTCTGGCTAGAGACCACAGAATGCCAGTGTAGAGGGGAACCTTCTCCCTCTTTCCCTTCTGAGACAGGAAACAGCTTTCCTATTCAAAGCCAACACTTTTACCAGTATTTTATCCTACAGAATGTGTAGGGGACACATAAAATGCATGACTATTTTTTCTGTGTCTGGCATTTATCTGCAATCACCCAGTGTCCTTGCAGATTGCAGGAAATAGACTCTTGACCTGCATCCTTTTTGTTCCCTTTTCTATCTATAGCTTTTTAGAACTGTGTGGGCCACATAACTGATGGCACTTTTCATGAAGCTGAAAAAAACAAGTTTTGATGCTCCAGCCATAAATCTCCTCCGAGAACATTATGGTTCACATTAGCTGAGTGTCCCAGCCTGAACACAGGATGTTCTGTTACACCTCAAGTATGGCCCCAAATGCCAAGTAGCCAGGGCTACTCTTAACCAGAAGAAAAGCACAGGGTCCCAGAAACCCATGGAATTTTCTTTCAGTTTATCTCTGTTAGCCTCCATAAATTTGGATCTTTGGAGACATGGATTTTGTGGATAGATATATAACAACAATAATAATGGCAGCTAACACCCCTTGGCGGTGTCCTACATGGCCCTCACTGCTCTTATATAGAAATTAGCTCAGTTGATACAACTCTATAAGGTATATGTTAAGTTATTTTACTGATGAGGCACCCACAGGTTAAGGAACCTGTCCAAGATTACATAGATATTAACTGGTAATGATTTCACAGAATTCTTGACTATCTGGGGACTTTCAATGCAAAAGATAATGATGGTGGGCGGTATGTAGCCCACACAAATTCTGCAAGTGGGAGAAGAATGTGGTATCCACTTGGATCATCTCGCTGTATTTTAAAGCTAAAACAAGACCACTGAATAATAAGATGCATTCAGCCTGTTGCAAAACACTGTGGATCCTACTGGAGTTAATGCCAACAGAAATGGAATAGAGGGTGAGTGTCCCATCTAATGTGCAAGATTAGATTTACCCAACCGCTATAGATTACAAATGCTGACCAGTCAAAACTAGTTGGAGATGCTATCTTGGTTTTGGCAGGTAGTCCTTGGCAGCCATGTGAATACGTATGAGAAACAAGTGCTAATCTTTTTCCAGTTCCAATTAGGTTACTAGCCTTGAGACATCTTTATTACCCAATTATCTTTTTCTTTTCCTCTCAGTACCTGAAGAGATAGCCTTGAAAGAGTTTTACCAGGAAAACAGATGAAGCAATCCAAATCTCAACAATGCCTCGCTGTTCCAAGGGAGTCAGATTTCAGACTCCCAATAGAACACAGTCCCTCACAGGCAACTCCTGCCATTTTGAAATGCTTGCATGCACCTAAGGACTCCTGTCCCTTCTTCCTATCTGAATTCATTCCCACTTTCAGGGGTACATTTCTATTTACCCACTGAAACTTTTTTAGGTGGTGCCTCTCCCGTGAAGTCTCCCTTTCTCTATTCTGATTCTGAATCCTATAAATCCTCCTTCAGTTGCCCCAGTCTCTCTGTACAGTTTAGTTTTCATGCCTGTCTCTCCAACTAGTATGATTATTTTTTAATGGACAGATTCATAGTTTGTACCTGTACCTGCATTCCCTAATGAAACTAACTATAAATTATTGTTAATGTGAAATGAAAAGCTTGGCTCTTTTGTTTCCCAAAGGGACCTTCATCTGATTGGCCTAGAACATTCTCTGAGGTTAATTGTGCGGAGATACTTCCATTTTGATTTATATGGCATCCATGACTATCAACAACCAGCCCACAAATGATGTCAGCAGCATGGTGGCTGGTGAAAAACAAGTGATGTCAGAGGCAAGGGAACATGCATTGTCCTACAGGTACCGGCGGTACAGGCAGAGGGCTGGCTGTCAGTCCCTTAGTCATCTGACTCATGAGCAGATTACTGATAACCATTTTGAACAATGCCTCTGCTACTCAGGAGACACTGATTCCAATGATGATGATTGACAAGGCAGGAGGTAGGTGGTAGAACTTGTACAGAGAGCACTGAAGGGACTTGCCCAGATCCAGCCAGGGAGGGGCAAGCATGGGAACATGGCCCAGCAGTTCTCACTCCCCAGTCTGGTTCTTTCAGAGAACAACCCCCCAAATGGTTTCCACTGTAAGTTTCAGGTGCATAGCACTGTGGAGTTTTTGGAATGACTGGCTGTTCAACTGAATCTCACTCATCTTTCAGTTGTAACTTCTCTCTCAACCTTCCTTACTAGCTCTCTGCTGCGCTCAAAAAAGCTTAATCAATCTATAATAAACAACCAATTAATCATAAATTTCCTCTCTAGTTGCTTTCTGGGCCTCCTTTTTCTAACTAGGTCATGAATTCCATGAAGGCAATGGTTATGTTTTATTTCATTACCTCCCACGGTCCGCAGGACAAGGCATGATTCAAAAGAGACACTAAATATATATTTTTTAATTTATACAATATATGATTGTTTATACACCCATCTAGTGTCTCTGCCTTAGCAAGCGGCTTCATGATTCAAGTCACCTCTACTTGAAAACTGCCAATTCAAATCAAGATCCCCCAAAAGATATTATTAGATCTGCCTGGGATTTCCTTTCTGGGACTATAATAACTGCTGCTTGTTGAGTTTTCTAATTTTTTCCATTAATATTCTCTTGTACTACCATTAATATTTAGTTTATTCTTTCCCCTCAATGTTAGCAGGTAATAGTACAGTCCAAACTTACAAATATGAGAAATGTGATTACTGTTGAAAGATGATATTTTCTAGCCCTTGAAATACCAGGAAATATGGCTGTGACCAGATATGTCAGCAAATTAGAATGTCCCAAGGAAGGCATGGTGTACCTGGTCCATACAGGGCAGAAAAACCCAGTAAGACTCAGTGAGGTTGGGAGCTAGGCCCATGTCAGAGGACATGGGGTACTGGTGTGTACCCCACACCTATTTTTTCTTTTCCGTGCCTTGACCTGTTCCTTGTGGATTACAGAAGTGGGAAATTAAGCAGTTAACCACTTTGGAAAATTTGAGTTTAACAGTGCCTTTCAAAAGAAAAAAAAGGTAGACAATAATGAAATCAAGTTCTTCTCAAAATATAGACAAAATGTAGAAATTTTTATTCCCAGTACTTTTAAAGATCAAAGATGGGAGTAGTTACTGCAGCCATAGTACAGAAACAGTGGTCATTAGGTCATGCACTTCAGAATAACCTGGGTGCTTGTTGATATGACTGTCAACAGCCCTGTCACAGGCTCCACAGTCAGCATCCTGGGATGGGGCTTAGACTCCTGCAGACTCCCCTGCTGCTCAGGTGACTCAGATGCCTCCAAGTATATGGGCCTCTCCATTCCAGGGAAGACATACGTTCTCTGTCACTATAAGGGTGAGTACTGACTTCTGATCTTAGCTATTGGTCGGACCTTCAAGGCCTTTGAAAAGGTCATCAGGTAGGGTTCAAGCTGGGAGGCTTGTGATCTTTTTTTGATTTCTAACTGAAAATGAATATCCCTCTGGTTAAGAAATCCAGGACAAGTTCAAATGCCCACTTGTCCAGGCAGCATCTTAGAAGGTGCTCCCATCTCACAGCCAAACTACCAAAGGAGCCTGCCTGAGGCCAACAGCTCTGTATTGAGTTCTTCTCATCAGGATTGGCACACAGTTAGAGCAACTCTTTCCTTTCTTACCATTTTCTTCCATTTCATCCTGCGATTCTGATACCAAGTCTTCACCTGCAGCTGAGTGAGTCCTAGAGACTGGGCCAAATCCAACCTAGAAGGCATGAAATACAAAGGAAGGATGAGGAAGATAGCAGAGGGCAAGAGAGATGAGGGTCTGCTGACTAGCTCCAGCTCAGACTCACCCCCCTTAAACCAATTCTTCCACAAAGGACTTTTCTTTCCTTCCAAAAATCCTATGGAAGAAATCTGGGAAGCTAAGAAACAGATGACCACACCCACAGACACCTGGGGGAGTCCCCCTTTCATAAACATTCCCGGTCTACTATGGATTTGCAAAGGACGCCTGAGCTGTCACTATGAAATCCTGCTGTAATCACTCATATCCTCCATGAAATAGGTACTTGAATCCAAAGTCCAAACTGGAAATGAAAAGTAAAGTCATTTCTCTGTGGAATCCTGCTCATCATTCCAGACCCAGTTCAAGTCCCATCTCTCATAGGTAAGCCTCTGGGTTCTGGTTAACCCTCCCACACGCCAGCAACCAACCAGATGGTGCCATGTCTTCAATTGTCCTCAATCTCTTCACATGTGTTATTCCTGTCTCCTTAACTCAACAGCTATCCACTTCATTTATATCCACAGAAGTGCCTCTCACATGGCTAAGTTCAAAACCAGGGATGAAAAATACTTTTTGATGGATTGATTCATTTACTGTAGCTGTCTTGAACTATAACAATTAAAATGTTCAAAAATTAAATGTTATAAATATCCCACATGAAACATTAAAGTTGTAGCTTCTCCTGCTTTCCATGGTTATTACTAATCATGACTCTGCATTTTTTTTGTGGCTTTCTGCAAAGTTCTAAAAGCCAAAGTCCTTCCTGAAGAGCAGGTAGTTGGGCTAATTCCAACAATACAGTGACTATTTCTTGAGCATCACAAGCACACTAAGGACCTGCCACATGCCATTTTATTTTTTTCCTTGTACACCCTGTGAAGTTGATCAGCATCTCCCATTTGATCCCTAGAAGATGATTCTGGAAGAGTAAGAAAGAGGCGGAGTCAGGATTCCTTGGATCTAACTTATACACCATCTCCTATACCGAGGCACATCCCCACCCACAGTATTTTTGTACAAGTCAGATCTATCAGAAGTAATTGCAGGGATGCTCCATCCTAGGGAGTAGCATACAACCCAAGTGGAGAGTAGGGACGTAGAACATAGGAGCAGTTTGTAGCCAGAACCCCAACCTCAGTCCTCTAGGCTGTACCCTCTGTCCTATGTGAGTCACCTCAGCACCATCTGAAAGGCCACCACCCTGAGCCAATATTAGCCACCTTCCTGCAGTGCCAACATGCTCAGTGAAGCAGTGTGGACTTGTAAAACAGTTTGGTCAGTGACTACCACTCTGAAGGTCCCCAAGTTTCTGAGAGTAACCACTTGCAGCCCTGTTGCCCACTGTCTCACACAAATCCGCACAGACACATCTTGAACCATTGGGAGTGCTAAATGCAAGTTCTCAGCTATAGCTTTCTCTGCCTGAGGACACCTACTGGTTGCCAGGACCCATGGGTACTGGTTCTGAAGGTTCCAAGTACTCTTAGGTGCAGCTGTCCAGCACCTCTGCTCTGTCTAGACACACACATCAAATCACTAACAAAGTGGAATGTGCCTTTGACAGATTTCAGAACCTGTCTTAATTCTGTTTTCTTATCTAGCTGGCCATCCCTGTAGAAGGGACACTCACAGCTGAAAGTTTTATTGAAAGTGATTAACAGAAAGAAATCAATAAATTCCCTGGGCTAAGAGGCTTAGTTTTCCCATTAATGAAGCACTGCAAACCCATAGTCATTCACTGAGAACCAAGACCCAAGGTGCCATCCCACAGACTTCTGGTGTGCTGGGCCTCCCCGGGCTCCAGAAGTGCCTTCCCAAACCCAGTTCACCTGAGGCCATCAGGTGCATTAGTCAATGGAAAGTTCATAGCTCTGCCACTGCATTAGCAAATGGTATTAGCTCACTTGGGAAATATGCATCCTTGACTCACTCTGGCTACAGAAACACACTTCACTGTCATCGGCTTTCTCTCATTACCTGCCACAAATTACAAATTCTCACTTCCCTTCATATTCGCTTAAATGGAATCACCTAGGAAACCAGAGAAACAAATACAGAGGACAAGAGCAGGAGCTGTGGGAGGAGGGAGTGCTCATGGCTCTGGTCACGTAGGGAGGGAGGAGAGGAACATCTCAGAGGGCGGGTTCAGGCAGCGGCTTCAGTGCCAGCCAGATGTGTCCTCCTCCCCAGGCAAGTGAATCAGTCCTGTGTGGGTCACCTGAGAGATGCCCAGACAGGCATGGGGAAGCCCAAGAGGTTTACTGAGAGCTAACATTCCTATAAAACTCTCTCTGGATTCTGAAAAATAAAATTTCACCTATGTATGTTAAACCTTTTAGGCACACCACCATGCAACTCATGAGAAACCCATGGCTACGTAGGCCCACCAGGCTCTCAGTTACCTGCCAGAAAATCAAAACAACACTTATATCTGGAGATCCCAGCTGAACCCCCAAGTTTGTGAATTACCTCTAATGTCCACCTTAATGCACCCCAAGTCCTTCAAGTCTGTGCAAGTCCAAAAGAGAACTCACTCTTCTCCCACCAAACCCACCTGCCTCCTGTCTTCCTTCCACACCACTGAATGGCATCCTTATTTACTGGTGGCCCAAGCCAAGAGCCGTAGAATCCTTAACTTTCTGCTCTCTTCCTCCACTATCAATTCTGCCCATTCCATCTTCAAAATTTTTCTCTCCTGTTTTCTCCTCTTTGTTCCCACTGTCAACACCCTAGATTCTTTCCTAACTGGTTTCCCTACTCTATCCCTTGCCTCTTTTAACCAATCAGTTATGGTGCCACCAAAGCCTTGGTTCTAAAATTTAAACACTATCATGTCATTTCTGGCCTTAGAGGCTGCTAACTACCTAAACAGCAAAGTCCATATTTCTCAGGCAGGAACATAAGGCCCTTCCTCCATCCTTCAGCCCATCTCTCACAACGTCCTCGTTCACACCATAAGCTGGTGATATCTCAGCCTTTTGCACTTCCCTTAACATGTTCAACAAAACTTGCTTCTGTACCTCTTGTGTGCCAACTCCTCTGGGAATCAAAGCTCTTATTAAATGTTACCTCCTCTGAAAAGGCTTCCCTACCTGCCACCCTGATTAATATCTTTGGGTTCCTACAGCCCTAGCACCATAATGGTACTAGTACCTAGTTCATGGTGCTATGTTCTATTGTGTCATTCCTCCCCATGACCTCCTTCACAGAAGGGATCTGCCTACTACTACATTTTGGATCTGTAACATCTGCCACAGAGGTTGGTACTCAGGAAACCCTCAGCAAACAGCTGATGGTACCTGGTTATTGAACTCAGTAGACAAATTCCCTTTCAGTGGATGATCTGCAGAATCCTCTTTCACTTTTCATTTTCATCACAACTCTACTAAATGCAGTAGCTTCAGAGCTCCAGTGAGTCTCCTTCTCACTATTTTGGTAGGACTAGTCAAGGCTGATAGGGACAAGGCAGAGAGCAAAAGGGAAAAATGACCTGAGAAATCCTTCCAATAAATAGGATCAAACTTTAGCTCAACCATCCCTGTGTGAGTTCAAGGAACAAAAAAGACACATTCTTGCATATTTTGCAATTAAGACAGCAACTTAAGTGAGGAGATGAAGTTTTGAGGTCCGGCCCATCAAACTGACTCAGCTCAGAGGTAGGAGGGTGGGGACAAGACTGAGATTATGGATCCCATTTCCAGATCTAGTTGCATTGTGCCTGAGTCTAAGTATGAGTGGCCTTAAAAAATAAGCCTGTTTCTCAGCTGAGAGCCTGGGAAACCATTTTTACCATTTTCCTTTGCTTGTTATACTGGAAGAGTCTAGTTTAAATGTGGAACTATAATGCTGAGTATGCGTTCAGCCACAGGCAGACTCTGGGGGCCAATGTGATGGATTCTGGGTTCTGTTAATCCAAGGTTGAGATGCCTGAGTCAAGGAATATGACTCCTCCCACAGTGTCATGCATCGCTGAAACAGTCCTCAGTGATGTCCCACAAAAGCAAATCTCCTCTTTTCAAAAGTGTTCCCTACAGAGTCCCCTCCCCACATCCTCACCTGTCTGGCGTGGACAAGTATTTCTGCTTCTGGAACTTCTTCTCCAGACCCATGAGCTGCAGCTCAGTGAAGATGGTGCGACTCCGCCGGGGCTTCTTCTGCCGGGGTGTGGGCTGCTCTGTCTCTGACTCGCTGCTGGCTAGAGCCTCGCCACCCTGGATCTCAGCAGATGCAGCCTCAGTGGCCACGTGGCGGGATAACACTGGGGCGATTCCGGGAGTGGTGGGGACCAGGTGGGAGATGACCGTAGGCTGCCGGGTGATCACTGAGAGGAGAGGATATGCCCGCAGGGAAGGGGAGCCTGGAAGACAGACAGAGAGGCAGGTCACCACAAGGCACGAGGATAGAAGGGGGCTGGGAGCCCAAACAAGACCACGTGCTGAGACTTGTCTGATGGCAGGGCCTCCTGCTCATAAGGAGGCTTAAAACAAAACAAAACACACCACTACCACCAACATAAAAACAAGACAAAACAAAAGGGGGCTTACATAGAGGAAAAGAAGGAAGAAAAAGGACCTTGAGACAACCTCAAGGTGAGCAGGCAGTGTAGAGATCCGATTGGCTGAGTGTGTGAGAAAGGTCATGCTCCCTTCAGCCAGGAAGAAGTTCCTGCAAATCCTTGGGTTTTAAGGGAATGTTTTGCTTTTCCCCTTTGTGAGTCCCTAAATTCTGGTTTCACGGATACAGGCCAATGGAACCATGCAGATGAAAAGAAGCAATCAGAAAAATCTAGAAATACATACTTCTGATTTTGATACACAAACTTCCCAAGAACTGCCTGTGGTCTTAACTCAATTGTCTGCTTGTAACTGAATTCACAGACTGAGAGGCCCGTGTGCCTTGAATCATAACATTTTTCTGAGTTGAAGGGTGCTTAAGGATGATTTAATTCAACTCACTCATTTTAGAAATGAACAAATAGTCCCAGAAACACCAGATGACCTGTCTGAAATAGTATAGCTAAGACTGAGGGACAAGCCAAGTTGTTCTGGCTTAAAGTTCGGTGCTCTTAGCACCACCCATGAGTTGTGTTGATAGAGCATTTAGAAGAAGGGAACAACAGGTTTCAGTTCGCATGAAAACTCAAGAGTGGCAGTGACTGACTGCCTAGTGCTGTGCTTCAGGAGGGTTTGTGGGCTGGGTCAGAGACTGGAGGTTGATTAACAATTCTGCTGCAGCTGATGGGAGGCAGACATACAGTATATACATCACACGCCACATCTGCTTGATGGATTATGAAGCAAGAGTATATTTCTGTCCAACAAGCTAAATCTTTCAAGTTTAAATAAAAGACCTCTTTCCCTTCACTGCTTAATAGCAGCAAGTTTAAAATTTCTTGATCATGATGTATGGGCATCATTTTGCCTCTCTGGGCCTCAATTTTGTCATCTGTATAGTAAGAGTAGCTGATTTCAATGAACCATTCCAACTCTAATTGCTGATGTCACAAAAGTACCTACCTCTCATTTGGGAGCTGATGAAAACAGAGAAGAGTCAGGTACCCTCTGGCCCTTCATGTGGCCCTGGAGATGGAATACAAGCAAGCAAAAGCCAACCAATCTTCACACTAGGTCTGGCCTAGAACTGACTGCCATCATCGAAGCCACCAGGTGCGGCTGATGAACTGGCTCTCCGCTCTGACTTGGCATTGCTCTTTTTATTCAACCCCAGGCCCCTGTTCTGGACACCAGTCCTAATCATTAAAACAGACAATTTCTCATGTTCTTTGCACATCTAGCCAGGCCCAGCAGAAACCACAAAACTGTTAAATAACAATAAATCACCAAGTGCTACAACCTCCAAATACTCTCCAGCCAACTTTAACACTTGAGGTTTTGTGTTGTGGATTCTTTTTAAGGAAAAAATAATCTGAGAATGATATTTTACAGCAAGAAAATTAGGATACTGGGCATGTAGTGTCAGATCTCTAAGCACACCTCATGGGATGACGGGGCATGGAGGTCTCTGGAAAGGTCTTACCCATGCAGATGTTTCTCATCTCAAGTTGCTTTACTTCTTTAATTTACTCCATTTGTTTCAGAAGGGATGTACTTTCTTTCTTTATCAGGCTAATTTATGGTCTAGAAACAGAAGCTTATCTATTTAGAAAATGTGTAATGCCTACCTATAATTCAAGCTATTAGTCACTTTTCTCTTGAACTCAGGGCCTTGCACAAGCTGGGCAAGTGCTTTGTCACTGATCTTAACCACCAGTTTTTTTTACTAACATGGAATAATATTTTGGAAGTGTGGTGATAATCTTGCATTGGCAAAGATGTGAAGAAACAGACACTTATATATCAGGGCTGGTAGTGTAAGAAGTATAATTTGTTAATAGGATAAATTAAGCAGTACATAGCAAGTTCTTAAGCAACTCTATAGTTTGAGTGTTCTATTTGCCCATGTGTACAAAGATGTATGTATAAGCATATTCACTGCAACCTTGTTTATAATTGTGAAAAAGTAGACATAATGCACATATCTATTAACAGGACAGTGACTAAGTAAATTGTGGTATTCTGTATTATTGACTAGAAAGTAGCCATTTAAAAAATACTTATCTAGCTGCATGTGGGAATGCACACCTGTAATCCCACTTGGGAGGCTGAGCAGGAGGATCACTGTCACTGCAAGTTTGAGGTCAGGCTAGAGTACATAGTGCAAGAGCAGCCTGAATTACATAGCAAGTCCCTATCTCAAAAAAAAAAAAAAAAAAAAAAAAAA